CGACCGCGACCACTACCACTACCACTACCACTACCACTGTCAACACCAACCCGACTACTACCACCGCCAGTACTGCCAACACCACTGCCACTACTAACAATCGCAAAAACAACAGTACGAACAATAAGACTAATGAGCAGCAACAAGATAGCAACACCGCCACAGCAAATTGCAATAGCGATAGTAATAGCAAAAACAACAACCATGCTATTCGCACAAATGAAGTAACAATACAGAAACTATAAGACAAACGAGATATCAATGACGGGAGCTGTGATGATAGTCAGAAAGGACACCGCCAAGGACAGGCCCTGAGCGCGGTTTTGAGGCAGGTACGGATGTTCGCGAACGGCCGAGAGATTGGCAAAGCATGCCCGGACCATACCAGGGACCATACAATTTAATACCTAAAAACCTAAAATCCACGGCCCCGAGCTCCAACACAACAACTCTGAGCGCGTCTCGCACTGAATCCGGCTACCCATAAGTGCCTTGTGCGTTTTGTCCATCATTCTACCTGCTAAAACAATCGAGACTCTCATGGAAAAGCTTGGAAGGGGAGGGCCTCGGCCATTTAGAAGAGTTTTGGATGCTGCGATGGCATTGCGCTGCTTTCCTCAGGGTGTGCACCACGCCATGTCCAGAGTGAGGCGCGCTGCCCCTCTGGCTATGGGGCGGAATACTCCAATGCTTCGACCAGAAGCACTCTGCGATACTCTGCGCCATCAGCAGCCAAGCGTTGCAAGATGCAAATTCAGTTATTGAAAGAGTCCTTGTGAACTCGTGGGGAACCTAGGACTTTAATGCGGCAGACTCTTTCCTGGAATCCGTGTGAAAACTCCCTGCATGGCGGATCCCAGTCCATGGACCGCGCCTTCTGCGGAAATAATCTGTTCGCCTCGGAAGTGGCTTCCCAAAGCAGAAGGGCTCCCTGAATAGATAGTGTTCTTAAATATTATGAGGACTTGACCGGATACTACTCTCCGAATGTAGACTACAACATGTAGTATTATGTGCAAAACCCCTATTCAAATTGTTCAGGCTCCGATAGTACTGAAATAGGAGACGGTTATCAATTTTAGGTCTGCAAGTGTCTCTGTGGATAGGCGTTGTATCCAGAAGGGGTCCGAGAGTTTAAGACTAGCTTCCAGTCCGAGTTTGCTCCAGCTGCAGTGGATTTCAGAGGTAGTAAGAGCAGCATGCTGACTCGAAGCCCTCATCCCGGAGCCTTTCCTTCTTGGGAAGCCCTTGAATCCTGCTGCGAAAGCCCAGATCTGCCGGCCGCCAACCTTCAGCCGCCACCACCACCCGGTTTGGGTATTAGGTTATGACTTCAGAGGTGAGGTCTTGATGAAGGCACTGCGGCTGTGCTGCGGCAATGAGATGCGCCTGTCTTAGTACCTGCGTCCCTCCACACCTGCCACGAAGATTATGTTTTCATCCAGGTGAAGGGGGAACGCAGGTATTTGGACCAACCAAGGTATGTCTATGTGGACCACAATCGCCAGGAATCGTCGAAAGCGATGGAAGTGTATACCTAAGCCGCGGGGCTCCCAGTGGTACTCGAAAAACCTATAGAGGAAACACATGGGCATATTGAGAACTCCTTTGGTGTGCATGCGCTGCAAGCCAAGCTTCAAACCCAAACCTCCAAGTCCTGACCTGGCTTGATCCCCCCGCAGATGACGAGTCTCTGAAGATTGGCGTTTGGCCGAAGCCTCAACCCAGGAGCCCGGCTAAGAGCACCGCGGAGCCCCCGAGTCAACTGCACGAGCCCTCGTGAGGTGCAGGACAAACCAAGGTGCTCTCATCCCCAGAAGCTGTGGGGAACAGACTTGGGCTCGAGGCCCGAAGAGAGGAAAGGTTTGAAGTTCTAGGATTCTAGGGTAGGCTTTCAGTTTGGGGTCATTAGACAGCTCGGAGCTCCCGATTCCACGAAGCTCGGTTCTTCGGCGATGTCGCCTAAAAAAGTAGGGCCAGGGCCCCACGGCTCCTGGTTCGGATGAGAGGCCGCGGCGCGGCTGGGATGTCCAGCTTCGGTGTGGAGCAGATGGCAGTTGCTCTTTTGGGCTTGGGGGCCAATGGAAAACCGTAGCAGG